ATCGTTCCGTCCGGTAATGGGCGGTTCGTGTACCAGTCAGCTGACGGATCAGTACGTACCGCCAGTACCGGGCGATATTATTCGAACTTGTATACCTTGATACTATTAACAGTATAATGAGAAGAGTGTAAGAAGACTGAGGCTACTGAGGCAACGGCAGTGTTAGCCAATCACATGACAACGATTGTCGGCCGAGGCTGAGAAGAGTGTGAGGCGACAATCGTAGCTGGAGCGGCGAGTGACCACAGTAGCGGCAAGTAGCGATTGTGGCAGCAGCGAGTAGCGACAGTAGCGGCGAGCAGCAACAGTGGCAGCGGCAACAGAGAACAACGACAGCGGAGAAGAAATCTCGACGGCAAAATCGCGAGTGTTAGAGTTAGGGAAGTCAGGGAAATCGCGAGAGGGAGCCTGATATCAGTGATTTAATTGGTTCGATTGAACCAACTAAAGCATCGGAAACCAACCAGACCTAAAAATCTGGTTTGATCGCCTAGTTTCACCCAGGCGCTCGCCCGAAGCACTCAATGCCTGGGCTCGAGCGAGCGCCCAGGCGGCTCCTCTTTGAAGCGCGCCTCTTGGAAATAAAGCGAGGCGCTCGGGCCTCACCTCACCTCACCCGAGAGCCTAGGCTAGCACCCGAGCGCCTATTGTAATCATTGGTTCAATTTAGGACTCTGATTGTCAGATTTGATACCCATTCTACTTTTCAAGTTAGTTAGTCAAAGCACTTGATTCAGCAAGCAAGGCGTCATGGATGCCCATTATTTGGAACTTAGGAATTGAAAGAGACAAACAGAACAGCAGAAATAACTCATTCCCCTTCCAGTTACTTTTATTGCCACGAACAGACTTGTGGTTTAGGATCTTCTCATATTCCATGAATATTTTCGTGGCTCAACCTGGCTCTAGTAGATTCCCAAGTCAACAAAAAAAGCAATGCCCTCAGTAAACATCCATGATTAACATCGTCAGAAAAGTCATAAGAATTATACCTATACCACAAGCTTCTTCAAATTCATTCAACTTGAATGTTTCAGGACCAACAGTCCCAAGAAATGCCAAAGCTGCATCAAGTTGTGCAGGATTCTTTATCTGCAAAATAAGTGGCCGATACTCATACTGACTTGCAAAGGCCCTAGTGACTCTGAAATAATTAAAAATAATAAAAATATACACTAAGATATCAAACCCGCAAATTTTACATTCTGCGGTCACCAAAAATTTGAAGAATTTTTTTTTTTGTTTTCCCAATTCGTATCAGAAAACTAATTACAAGTGACAGAGCTAAAAGTCATAACCTTCGACGAGACGATGTACTGGATTAAAGTAGGCCGGTGAACAAGTGCATTCGCTGGGTACTTGGTCGCGACCTATCTCATAAAAGAAAGGAACCAAATAACCAAAGTGTTTTAGCAGCTCACAATCTCACCAGCATTGACAAAAAAATGGTACCATGTAAAGAAGATTGCCTATCGTTTTGCTGCATTCATTAACACCCGCCTGCGAAAAGGGGAAAAAGAAAAGAAAAGGTCGGACTCACAGACCTTCCGATAGATGAATTAATCGTGATTCAAGGGCTTTTACGTGCGAGATGCGATTGGGATCGGGAAGAGATTACCTCCGCGATGACGGCCGTGAGGTTGGAGGTGACCTTCTGGTTGACGAGGGCGTTCTCCGCCGTCCGCTTGTCCAATCCGATGGACAGGAACAGATCCAAGGGCTTCGCATCGCCGTCCTCCACCACCATCCTCGCCCGCGCGCTCCGCTGCTGCTTCTATCCGATGCCCAAAGGAGGGAGAAGAGGGCGAGAGCGCGAGGTTCGCCACCCCGGCCGAGGTTTTAGGCACAATAAAGATCGCTCCTTTCTTGACTCGAACCAAAACCAGGGATATTTATGGAACCCTAAAACAGATGTGGGTACGGCTCAGCTCTCTGGTATCCGGGAGGGTCCATCTCTTTCTTCGCTCACATCGTGTCTGCAGTTGGAGGACCCACTCTTCCACCAATCAAGGTGCAAGCGAAATGAGGAGGCTGGCCCCGGGCAAACAAACTTACGCTCCCCGAGTCTACCCATCTCGGACCTCTGGGTAACCTTCACATGGGACCCTCTTGTGGGGCCACGGACGTTAAAAAGGAGCAGTGACATTTTGCTGGGGCGCGGACGGCGTCTGACAGCCGAGCCAGCCGCGTGCGCGAGATCTTTCTGACGCTTGGAGACCACGTGACCTACGCGAGCCGTTCGATTACTTGTTTTTTGTTCCGACGGCTGAGATTTCTCCACAGTCAACGTAACGTTCCCACTGCGACGGTTTCCGTGACGTCGTTGACGGATATGTGACGTCATCGTGCACGTCTGATGGACGAGTCACCGAACACCAGCTTGCGGCGCTCACCAAACATACCCAAATTCCGCCTCTCATAGGTCCACATGTGTGGCCCACCGATGACATAGGGAAACAACTGCGCTTTACGTGGAGTTGAGTTGTTTTCGATGGGAGGAAGAGCCAGAATTGAATTGGATATTCCGGCGCTGGGTCAAACGACGAGAAGACGTGGAAGACCGAATCAGGGGCTTGGGGAGCACGCAATCTGAAATGGATTCGATGTTTTTGACTTTTGGAAACCCCAAGGGCGGGAACAAGAGGTAACGCCGGACCCAGTGATTTGGCCGAGGAAGGAAAACAATTTCCTGTCTGAAATGCTTGATTGCCCGATTTAAGTCACGACGGTCGGACTTGCTCCATCGTCTCTCTCTCTCTCTCTCTCTCGTCATCTGATCGGACCAGAGGAGTGGGATGACAGATCATTATTATGACATTCTAGATTTGAATCATATCTTCATCACTTTAGTCAGCTACCTTAAATGGATTCAGTAAGATGTGGTGCAGCCACCTGCATCATTTCCCTTCTTATTAACAGCCAATGTTATGTTCATTCGATCCAATGCTACCACTAATATTCATGCCAGTCTGATGCTTGGCATCCCCCTCAACAAAGAAATCAATATAGTGTCGATGCCCAATTTGCTCTCCCTCAAGAAATGGGACAACTTAGGTTGCAAAACTAGGTAGGGCTGCTATGTTCAGACCTTCTGCTTGCTGTCTCATTTAAACTCCACAGAGCGGCTTAGGGTGAGCTGATCAGATTAAACTTTCTCTTCTTCTTCTTCTTCTTCATGAGAAATTATGTCAGGAGATTAAAAATAGTTTCAGTAACAATATCAAAGTATTTGAGAGATGGAATGAAAGTTCAAAAAAAAAAACTAAGTTAACACAGATAACAGTAGGATTAAAACTAAATTTGATATGGTCAAATTTGTATGTCAATTCAATATGGTGAAATTAATTTGACCAGCCTCATTTTTCTGAATTGCTACGTAGAGAAATATGATATATAGTATCTATCACTTTTACAATCATCAAATAATAAAATATTTTTCTTTAAATATTATGCTAATTTAATATGTGCCATTTTCGTCGTAAGAAGAGTGCCAAAACAATTTCATTTACATCATTTACATTAGATGATGCAGCGGAACACTGTGGAAACCACAAGAACCAGCGGCAGAGAAAAAGTTGACTCACGTTCAGTTCATCTTCTTTTTTTTTATCTCCAGTGGCATTTGCTATCCCTGTCGTCTTGCAGTACGATTCATCGGTGGAGCAAACTAAGCGAGGGAAAAAGAAAGAAACAATGTTTGATATGACCTGTCTGTTCTTCCCGTCCGGGCTTCCTGGCACTCACTCTGCTACAGACATACACACAGCCTGTATTCTGCATGCAGTGTTGTGTTGACAAGGACCCCGGGGGTGACCATGTCGTGTGCGCATGGCGCGGTTTAGCATCGGATGCCGTGGCTACTGTTCCGAGAGCTCGACGGTGATGCAGTCATTT